TGAGTTTACTGCCTCCCCAAATCCTGGTCTGGCCCCCAGGCAGGGGAAGGGAGAGAGGCTGCTTGTTACCAAGGGCCCCGGGAAGCTGCAGAGCTCCAGGAACTCCTTGAAGAGTCCTCCAGACTCACACCACTTCACAGAGTCAATAAGTAAATGAAACGGAGGTCGTCAGATGCTGCTTGGAACCAGAGCTTATTAGCATGCATCTGCATATCAATGAAAAAATAAGGTCCTGCCTAAAGAGAGTTGATCTACAGATTTAAATAAACTCTGTTACTTTAGAGTTGGGCCTGCTGACAAGCTTTATGTCACGTGACTCTGTGTCACTGAGCCACCAAGGAAGGATTGGGAAGAGTTTCGAGAACAGTCATCACACACACAGACACACACGCACACACAGCAATGCCTCTGCGGGAGGTGTTACAAGTTAGCTTCTTGATTCTGCCGTTTTCTGACTGTGTGACTGTGACGTTGAGTGAAGAACATAATCTCTCTGAAACTCCGCATTTTAACATAGAAGTCATAAGACCTTTCAGAGTTATTATGAGCATTTTGGCTTCTCTTGGCAATGCCCTTGACCTTCAGTAGATGCTCAATGCGCCATGGCCATGACTAGTGCTGGAGCCCCTGGTAGTGGAGAGAAGGCGCCACGGGGCACCCTGAGAAGGGCCCTGAGCGCCACGTCCAGCTGCACGCCCAGCAAGCCCGCCCCGTCAGCTCCGCTTCTGCTTCTCTCCATTGCGTCTTACAGACCTTTCCAGCTCACTCTGCTATTCTGGCTTCAGGCTGCCTCGCTGGCGTATTAATAATAAATTATAATATGATGCAGTGGTGCAGCACTTTGCTCTAGTTTACTAAGCACTTTTACCTACAATATGCCACTTAATTCTCATTACTGTCGTGGGAGGACCTCACTTTAGAAAGGAGGAAACCGAGGTTAACAGGAGGCGGTGACTTGCGCAAACTCAAATGGCAGAGCAGAACTCAAACTTCAGGCACCCTCCCCAGCGCCTGCCGCCTCCAAGGTAAGTCATCCAGCCGGCAGGCCGGGCTCCAGGGCCTGTGCCCCCAGTTCACAGATTCCCTTCCAGTCGCTAACTCTTACTAGATGTTATGTGCCAGACGTGGGACTATCTGCAGGTGATTTGAGCAACATTTGAACTGCACCCAGCACTCCCGAACAGTCTGTGTCATCTTCACAAATGTCAGTGTCGGGAAGACAAAGGCTGCAGCACCACGGCCGATGGCAGGCATCTAAAGAGGCGTGTCCAGTGAGAGTGGCTGAGCAGACTGCGCCCGTGGCCGGAAATGTGGTCAAGGACGTTATTTGTAGAACTGAGGAAGCTTGAAGACAGACCACGTATAAAAGAACAGCATCCTATTTGTGTCAAATTTCCTGAACTGATCATTGCTGTGGTTATACAAGAGAATGCCTTGTTCTTCGAAGATGCATGGCCAATATGAGTGAAAGCTGTTCAATATGCTTTTCTTGTTACTTTTTTCAAGATTTGAAATTTTTCAAAAAAAAAAAAAGTGCACCAGGCAGACTTCTTGAGCAAATCTCTCTCTCTGATAACCAATGTGGTACCTAAAGGCCCATCTTAAAAATTTAATTATAGAAGTCCAGAAAATGTGCAATTGTAAAGGTCATCTGATTAAATCTATCTTCTGTTTGCCCCTCCCTCTGTATGTGTGACCATGTGCTTATGTATGCACGTACGAGCACGTGCATGGGTGTTCACACACACACACACACGCACACGCACAACCCTCCTGTGCCAGAAAATTCCAGTGCAGCCCTTTCCTTCTTCGGGCACCTCAGACCTTTAAATTTATTTTATACTAGATTGATTGTTCCCAATCAATGTAAGCTTATTCTAAGGTTTTGGTTTCGCTTTACGTGATCCTATAGAAAACATCTCACTCCTTTCCCACCACACCGCACGGAAATATTTGAAAACGGTTATCTGCTCTCAGAGACTCCTCTCTTTCAGTTCCTCTTCCACAGGTTCATATATTTGAGAGTCAAGGTGGACTTTGAGTCCTCTCACAGTCTCCCGTCAAAACTCAGATTCTCCAGAAGAGAAAGACAAGATTTCAAGTCCAAGGTTCCTTTGTGTCAGAATTTGGCTAAGCGTCGTTCCTCTCAGACAAGGGCACACAAACCAGCTTGGTTAAGTTTTGAAGAGTCAGACCAATGACCAGGTTTCTCTGCTTGAGCTGCCTGCCCGCCCTGCACTGAATACTTTCACATTTAATAAGAGGCCCTCGTATATTGCAGTTGGGCCCCAGATTCCTTGCAATCCAAGCAGATGCCTGAGCTTTCCCTCTGCTCCAAGGGCAGGGCCAGTGTCTCCTAGGGTGCTCAGACTGAAAACACACTGCCCCGGATTTTGAGTCACCTTCACACGAGAAGACACACAGAGCCTCAGTCAATGTGCTGGCCAGATGACCTTCTGGAGAACCAGGGCCCAGACAGAATGTCAGCAGGGCCAGGGCTGTGGGTGGCTGTGGGTGGTTATGGGGGGCTGTGGGTGGCTGTGGGGGCTGTGGGGTGCTGTAGATGGCTGTCGTGCTGTGGGAGGCTGGTGGGGGCTGTGGGTAGCTGTGGGGGCTGTGGGGGCTGTGGGCGGCTGTGGGGGCTGTGGGGGCTGTGGGTGGCTGTGGGGGCTATGGGGGCTGTGGGCGGCTGTGGGCAGCGGGTCCCATGAGAGAAGCACAGGCGTGGGCGCCAGAGCCCTGTGTGAGCCTGGTCTCCTCCAGGAGCTGGTAGCTGTGAGCAACTGAAGAAGCCGCTCTGCCTCCCTGAGCCTCAGTGTCTCCATCTGGTAGAATAAGATACCACTGTCTCCCCTCTAGAGCTGTAGCAAAAACAGAAGAAATCAGTGCAAAGCTCAGCCGCCCTGAGTAGGCACTCAGTGAGGACTAATTATTTATTAATGTGGCCACCATTCCAGAAAAGTTATAATGATACATTTGGCAAAGGTCTACTCTGTGTTTTAGGCTATGTAAGAAACAAATTAATTATAATAATAACAGCAGTGAAATCACATCATAGTCAGTAATAAAAATTTTAAAATGTGTTGGGAAAACAACCCATGATATATTGGGCTAGAGCCAAGACAACCAGGCGACAAACTGTGGCCAACAGATGAGCCGCTCTGCTGTTTCATACGCTTAATGAAACAGTCAGCTTCCTGAAATTGCTCCCTTGCTAAACAGACTTCCCAAGGGCTTCACCAGAAAGATCAATGACTCTATGCATCTTATCCAAGAGCCGCAGAACATATGACACTGGGGTACCGGGAAGTCCATCCAAGACCAGGAGGCGGGGTGGGTGAGGGTCAAAGTCTGCTCACATGGGTTAAACATTTAACAGAAAACAGACTCTTGCTATGAGGGGTTAATGCAGAAAATGGTACTCTTTTGGACACATGTGGCACACTGGGGAGCTTTCTTTTCTAGCAGCAAGTGAGTGAACTGTGTTAAGAGTCAGATGAAAGGGAAAATTTAAGACGAAATATCACTAACTGTGAGCTCCACGTTTTGGTCCACAATTCAGAGCTCAGGGAGTCACGCGCTCATGAGCCTCCTGTGGGTGCAGACCTGGGAGCTGGAGTGAGTCTAGGTGCCTGATAATCTACCTCCCCAGGGGAAGGATTTCTCTCTCATCAGTGTGGGAGAGGCAGCGATGTAAGTAACCAGACAGGGAAGTCAGGCTTGGTAATAACAATAGGGATATTCTTCTAACAGGGAATGGGAACAATAGGGCTGGTTCTGTTACACTGAGCCTACACGAGATTCATCGGAGCTAGAGAAAGGCTATAATAGTAGCACTTTAAATGCAAGGAAGCAACCCCATACTAAGAGTTCCCCCACCAGACTAATATCAGTGATCGCCAGCTCTCTGGTGCTTCAGCATTCCTCAAGGGCTGCTGAGACTTGACAGACTATCCCAGCTGGAAAGAACCGGAAGCATCGTCCATTTCAAGTTTATCATTTTGCAGGTGATGAGACTGAGACCCACAGAGGATCTGGAGGTGATAAGCTGCAGATAAAGACCAAACCAAGCTCTTGGATTGAATTGTATTCCTACTATACCTACCTCTTCTCTTCTAGAATTCCAGCCAGCCCTAGGAGTCACAAAAATGTCGTGAGTAGAGAAGGGAGACCTTTAGGAGCTGCTTTTCAGTTCGCTCTGAGGCACTTTCTGGTTGCGCTTCAGGCAGTGCCCAAACGCTTCTGCCACAGCCTGCTTCTCTGGGAAACAGAACACAGGATGTGGCACTATTTCTAATGGCCGCGAGAGGGCGCCAGCACCCCGTGCTAGGACACTCTTCAGTCTACCTGATCGCCCGTACAGCGTGTGTATATTTATTTTCAATGAGGTCAGGAGTATCAAGGTTGTAAAATAACATATTTTCACTTGTTTTCTTCCTACATCTCAGACATAGCTTTTCTGAAGTCAATTATCTCCCTGAGACGCCGTTCTCCCCACCTCCTTCCTCTTGCGCTGCCTTTCAACACATCAGAGTCTGACACCAACAGACTGAGAAATGAAGAGCGGGTGGCAAGCACGCAACTTTTTCCCTGACTGGAGATGTGAAATCCCTGTTGCCTGTTCTGGCACTTTGTTTTTAAAGGCAGTGTGCAAACGTAAGGCCTGTGTTCTCCAGTCCCAAAGAGGAAAGCCCGGAGGGTGCAGGGCCGGGATGCCGTCCAGGGGAGGTTTGAGGCTCGGCTGGGAACCCGGGCATCGGACCGCCTCTCCAGCGCCACTCCTGGCGGAGGATGGAGGAGCATGGAGAGATCCCGAAAGAGGAGAAAACTGGGGCAGTGAGGAGACACCCAAACTGTAGGGTGTCATTAGCTGGGTGCCATGTTTAAATGGAGGCCCTGCCCAGAGGCGGGTGACAAGGATGGTGAGGGGATAGGAATAAAGGACGCACATGTTCACACTCAAACACTCACACAACGGGAAAACAATTTGCAGCTCTTACAAAGTGCAGATCTGGAGCCTGGCAGAAGCATCAGAGTTGCATCTGGTCTAAAGGGCCACACACTCCTTCCGAGCCTGCCCAATTGCCCTGCTCAGAGAAGGCCACTGGCCTCGCTGCGTCCTGTAAGGCAGGCTTCTTCACAGGTCAGTAGAGATCCGATGGGTCAACTGCAAGCCCCACCCGCTCAGTGAGGAACCCTCAGCGGCCCTGAGTGAGGGCTGCCCCAGAGTTCACCAGCAGCGCAGCTGGTGGGCAGCCAGGAAGGGCAGTGGAGCTGCCTTCTGGTCTCACTGCTGCCTCACAGTCACCATCAGAAACGTGGGTTTCCAATCCTCTGGCCCTTCCCAGCCAGGAGCACCAAAACCTAAGTAAGATCGTGTCCCTTTCCTATAAGTACCGGTAGTCCACTGGGAAAGAAAAATAAATATCTCCACTGCCTTCTCGTTAATGCCATCATAGTGCAATGGGAACAAAGATGGGGGGCTTCAGCAGGGTCTTGAAGGATGAATGGGAAGTAGCCAGTCCGAAGAGAAGGAACAGAAATTCCAGGAATCCAGAACAGCCTGAGCAAAGACATGTCCCAGCGAGGGTCCGTGGTACCTGGCAGGGGTGGGGGACGCAAGCCGTCTGGATGGCCGGTGCATCTAGTGTAGTTTCCTCAGGGTTGCAAAGCTGCATGGACCGCAGCCCGAAGTTGGCGCACATTTGTCTCGTTAAGTATTCCCAGGGTTTAAAATAAGCTTTGAATGCTTTCAGATGAGGTGGATTTGGTCCAGTCTGCCGCCATCCGCCATCCTTCTCATCCAGGCGGGCTCTGCTCATTCACTTGCCCTGCCTGGATCCTGAAGGCATTTGGGACAGCCTGCCCTGTTGTAAGTCCTCCTAAACGGAGGGCACATGAAGCACCCTCTTTTATACAACGCTCTTGGGGCCTCTGATAGAGAGGGAGGGAGCGGGACGCCTGTGCCAGCAATGCTCAGACGTGGTCCTCCTGCCTCTGCCAGGAAGGCTCATCATCCAGGACCCATGGGGTCAGAAAGCCTAGTCCACTCCAAAAACAGACCATTTGTTTAGAAACAGGGATTGGGGCACACTGAGAGGAGCGCAGAAGTGCTCACAGCCCGCCTCTCACCATCTGCTGCCCAGTGGAGGCACTGGCAGGGGCAGCCAAGAGCCGGCCTGGCTCTCCGAGACTGAGGGGGGAGGCCTCTGCTCCTGAGCTGGGTAACTGCTGCTGTCAAAGACACCATATTCTGGAGACCACAACCTTGACTTGACCTTCAAAGGGGCCTCAGATCCCAAACCAAGAAGTATCACTGCCTCAACCAGGCTCCCAGGCCCTCATTCTGGAGCGAGCTCAGAAGACACAGTTCTCTTTGCCATTTTTGATGTCATTCATTTGATTAACCCATGTTGATTGGCACTTTGTCACCCTCTGGTGACCTGCAGATTTACACCAGGCCTTAACTTCTTACACGTCTGACTCTGACAGTTCTCACAGGGCTCCAAGCCATTTGCCAGCTCTGCCCAGTCCAGCATGGGTTCCAGAGGAGGCTGAGGGTCCTGCTGGGGCCCACCGCACCACAGACCCAGAGTTAACCTTGATTCAACCGCATTCTCTGCAAAGCCCAGAGCTAATAAGGCAAGTGTAAGCAGGAGCTGCGAATTAATCCCCTTGAATATGCAGGTAATCTAGATGGAAGGAGACAGGTGCCGCTGGCCCTCCATAAATAAATTGTGCATGAGGGGGTGGGGGTGTGGGTGAGGCTGGAAGCCAGATAGAGCCCCAGGGAGCAGAGGGGGTGGAACCGGCCTTGCAGGCTGATTATGCTTCTGCCCGAGGGGGACAGAAATGGCTGCGCCTTGACAGCCATAAAGTTGCTGAGTGTAGAGCTTACCTAGAAAGGCAAGAAGCCAAGAGCCACCTACAAATTCCTGAGCTAAGCCTTCTCTGGAGGAATTCATGGCCCTTCTGTATAGAAAGAGACAAGAGGAAGAGGAAGGGTGAGCAGAGGGTGATGGGGCAAAGAGGATGGAGGATGGGAGCGAGAGGCACAGACAAGGATGGAGAGCGACATGTCAGAGGAGGGAGAAGGGGAGGAAGCCTGAGAAGGGAGAGCTGAGGGACGAGGCTGAGGCACTGGCATCCCTGGGGCCTCCTGGGCCCTGGGCTCTTAGTGTCCAGCTAGCCTACACTCACACAGCCCCACAGGGAGGAACAGAGGCAGGAAGTGCCATCTCCAAAGAGAGGTTCTCCCACTCCCATAACTACGTGACCTGGGCTTAATTCAGCGACATCGAACGACCTGCCACATCCTCCGTGGCTCAGGGACACAACATCCCTATGCCTCGCCTGGAAAAGCAAAACGTGGAGTGAGGGGGCAGGACGAGCATTCTTCTGAGAATACTTAAGAAGAGGGGTCCGTGCACCCTGGACAGCCTATGTCGGAGCAACGAAACGTCACTGACCCTGCAGCTCCATCCATGTTGGCCCAAATAGCAGGATTTCCTTCTTTTTTAAGGCTAAATAATATTCCACTGTATGTATAGACTGCATTTTCTTTATCCATTCATCCATCCTTGGACACTTTGGTTACTTCTGTGTCTTGGCTATTGAGAATAGTGCTGCAGTGTACATCATGCTAACCGAAATAAGCCAGACAGACACAGAAAGACAAATTCTGCATGACCTCACTCACATGTGGAATCTAAAACAGTCGAACTCCTAGAAGCAGAAAGCAGAATGGTGGAGGGGGGCGAGGTTGGTCAAAGGGGACACAGTTTCAGTGATGCTAGAGGAATAAGTTTGGGAGAGCTAACACACACCGTGGTGACTACAGTTAACATTACTGTTTCGTGTCCTTGCAATTTGCTAAGAGGTAGGTCTTAAGTGTTCGCATCACACGCAAAAAGGAAAGTGGTAACTCTATGAGCTGATGGATACGTTAATTAGCTTGATTGTTGAGACCATTTCACAATGTATTCAATATCACCACATTGTACACCTTAAATGAGTACCATTTTTATTTGTCAATTATACCTCAGTAAAGCTTAAGAGCAATGGTGGGCGGGGTGCAGAGCTGTCGGTGGTCCTTTCTCAAGCCCCTCCCTGTCCTGCCCCCCTGGGCTCCGTTTCCTGACAGCCTCGCGCAGCCCCTTGGGGAGTCTCCATTCCAGGTGGCAGAGAAGGGGCTCACAGAGATGCTACGGAAGCCTGGCTGGGCCCTGTCCCCAGCCACCTTCCCAGAGCACTCCCCAAGTGGGAGAGAAACGCACCGCCACGGAATAACCGACGCAGGCGTTTGTTCTTCAGCCAAAAAAACACATAAAAGAAGAAGAAAAAAAAAAGATTTTGACGGCAAGTTTTTCTTTTCTTTTTCCCATTTGCATCATTTTGCTTAAAACCCAAGAGCCCAGTTTTTGCCCAAAAGGAAGAGGCTGGAGTCGGGCCTGGAGGAGCAGTTTTGGGTGCCTTCCGTCTCTCAGAGTGATTCAACCCAATGTGATCACTTAATAGGGAACTCATTTTAATAGTCTACAAATGAGAAGTCAGAGACAATTAAAATTCATTCCCAATTAATTGGTTTTTTTCTTCTTTCATTACCAAGGTTTGCCAGTGAGATAACAACAAAGGATTAAAAACAAAAGCAGCCTGCAGCCTCCACTCCGGGCAGAGGCCGCCGGACTGGGCCTGCGGGGCGTCCCCGCCTTAGTTCAAACTCCTCTCCCTCCACCGAGCGCCCTCCGACCCTGGGGTAGAGACAGCCCGACCTTCAGAAGCGGAGGAACCTCTGAGCCGTAAAGTCACGGACGAGTTTATTACCAGGACGCTGCCGAGTTCTTTTTTATGGTTTTTAATTCCGGTTTATTTACTCTCCGGAGTAATGGCCTCAGCAGCCACATTTATTACTGATTCAGCCTGTGCTACTTGGGCTCCCAGCGAGGTCCTCCTCCGCCTCCCCCGCCTTCCCTCCTGGCTTCTACCAAAATTCCAGGCAACGACGAGCATCCTGAGAGGACAGAGCCCGGAGCCCACCGAGGCCAGACGCGCGCTCCGCCGACCCCCGCGCGACACTGGCGGGCCCGCGCCGCCCTCCTCGTGGGAAGGACCTGGCTCGGGCGCCCCACCCCGGGGGCCGGCTCTGCCGCCTTCACCTGGCTCCAGGAAACAGAATCCACAGGACGCGCAATGGGTACCAGCATCTTCCTTGCGCCGCCGACTTTAAGCCTCATAATCAGCCCTCTTGACCAGATACCTCCGCTGTCACCAGTTCTCCGGTGAAGAAACAGGCTAATAACTTATTCAGACACAGAGGCAGGGTTTGAATTTAGCTGATTCCAGAGCCTGACCCCTGACCCTCCATTTCCTTTGTGGTTTTGACCTCTGCTGCGTCTTTTGGATGCTAGAGTTCATGGCAAAACCCGTGGCCTTGTCATTTTTTTGAGGGGTCAAGGCTCCTGCTGAACTCCCGGCCTCACCTGGGTCTGGTGGCCCTGAGTGGACGGCTCTGAGCGACCAAGCTGGAGACACGGGGGGCTGCAGGTCGCCGAGAGGCTGAGGCTGGGGAACCAGTCCTGGGGCAAACTCTGAGCGCACCGTGGCTTCCAAGAGATGGAGAATTGGCCCCTTTAGAAATCAGAGCTGTCCCCTTTGCTCCCACCACCAGCGGGTCTCGCCAGGGTTAGAGTTCTGACGGAGCCTTTACTTTATTATTATCATTGTTGTTTGAAACGCCTCATAATAACTGGGATAGATTTCTTAGGAAGCCAAATAATGGGATGCGTTTCCACCCTGGCTTTATAATTAATGTTTGCATCATTTATCTTTCGTGGAAAGATTATTCTGACTAACGAGGTTCTGGGCCACTAATTCATTACACTGCCTTGTCACTTCCTGCTCCTCTTATTACCCAGAAATAGACTCATTAGTCAGAGTTCAATGACAGGGAGAAATTGTGTTCGTTAATTTAATTCCCTCACTCACTTGTGGGCCCCATGTTTGTCCAAAATTGGGGACTAGAAGGGGGAAAAATTGGTATCTTAAGACTTTGCTTCTGCCTCGTCATACTTTCTACCTCACTCCTGTTTAACAAGCATGGGGCCCAGACAGCTCGTACTGGTGGCCACGCAGGCCCTGCTCTTTCTCAGCTCAAAGCTCTAAGTGGTGGACGAGGGGACAGAGGACAGGGTTTAGACACTTCGGAAACATAATCAAGTTCTTGGGGGTTTTTTAACCTCAACTCGCAACATGTTCTACCTGTGAACCCTTAGGAATACCCAGGCATCCCAAGAGGAAATGCTGGAGATGTACATGTATGTTTATGACACAGTGTCCCCGAAGTCCGGCACCACAAGAATGTAACGTGATATGATATAGCATCTATAGGCTGGGCTCAGGGGTTAGATAGACTTGAGTTCAAATCCTGCCTCTTCTTGTGGGAGCTGCATATCCTTACTGGAGAAGCTTAGTCTCCCTGCACTGCGCTTTCTCATCCACAGAATAGGATTAACAACTGTTGTGAGGGTCAAGCTGGGAGAGGCTCCAGAAGAGGTTCGCACAGTGTGCTACGACTATTAAGAACCTGGAAGAAACATGCACTAATCAAACTCACACGGCGAGAGAGAGGGCGCCTTCCAGCAGGGCTCCTAAGCCTGGCTGCACACGGAACACCTGAGGATGCCCAGGCTCCTGGACCATTTGGGTGGGAATCTCTAGGCATGAACGGAGGGCATCAGTGCTTCTTAAAACCTCCCCCAGCTGTTCTAAGGAGAGGTCAGGGTTGAGAACTCCTCAGCCTCCTGAGGTTGGCAGTGAACTCCTTCAACCTTGATCAAGCACAGAGGGTAACCCAGTTGTGTTCTTTCTGAAAGGGCTCCCTAGAGGTGTTATGCTCCTGGTCCAGCCTGTTCCAGAAAGGAGTTCACTGCACGGGACAGGGACATTTCCCTGGGCCACTCCACGAGCAGGATTAGTGCCTACATTGTTCCAGGTGCTGGGCAGACCATGGGAAATAAAAGCAGCCCCAGAGCTTGCTGTCTTGGGGCAGCTGGTCCACTGGGGAGCTGGAATTAAATCACCAGTGAATGCTTAAGTGCAAACCAAAACAAATGCACTCGGGGAAGAAGGTTGATCCCAGGGCCATGACCCAGCCTGGGGACCAGGAAGGCCTTCACAAGGAAGGATCTTGAGTTTAGTTATAAAGGATGCCTAAGGTCATCCATGTGAAGAGAGAGCAAGAGGGCTTTCCAGGCAGAAGGACCAAAGACCAGTGCACAGCCCATGTGGCCGGAGCAACGGAAGCACGGGGAAGAGGTGAGCTGAGAGCAGCAGAGGCAGAGCTGCAGAGCCTTGGAGATGTTTGAGGATTTGGGTCCTCCCTGTAAGGGCAAAAGGATGCTCTTAAACTGAGGAATTTTAAGTGGGGCAAAGAGGAGGGATGGCAGGATGGAATAAGTCATCCTTCAAGCCAACTCACTTCATAGCACTCCGGTCCTGACGGCCAAGGTGATGGCATGGTGTGAGGGGCCAGTCACAGCGCTCCACCCTGCTGAGGCCCTCTGGTCAGCCCCTTATGGAAAACTGCAGTGGCCCAGATATGCTCACCGATGCGTGGGGCCCTATCTC